GTTAGAGAAAGAACTGTATTTTAATTGAAAATTCTCAAAAATAAATAAGTAAACATAAGTTGCACACAATATCACTTTGAAATGGCGTGCTATAGATATGACCGATACTGTAGGTATTTTCTGAGTATGATTTGGTTGGTTGGTTGGTGGAAGCTTCGCCTGAGCACATGCCCAGGACCCAATTAGTGCTTATAGCACCATTTTTCTGCTTTCATGATTCGGTTTCGTCAAACCGTTATGTTTTTTTAGGCTAGTAATGGTGCATTTGGAGATCTCTCTAAGATTTTGGATGGAAAATCTCCCGAGTGTGTCATGCCTTATTCGTGCCAGTACTGGACACTCGCAAAGATAGCGAAGGATCGTCTTCTTTACTTCCCTCAAGATCACCGCTACGGCACCGAGGCTTATACGGAAGGCCCATTGTAGCCGCATGTTCGCTAATGAGCCGATGATTTAGGCGAATTGAAACAAATTACCTTAAATATATTATTTACCAGATGAAAGTAATTTTTTTTTAATTAATGAACTTTATTCAGCCGTTTTTATATTTCTTTGTTGCTGTTTGTTCGCGCAAATCTCCGAAACGGGGGAACCGATTTCAGCTTGAATTTCACTAATGAATAACGGTAGATATTTTCTGTGAAGGCTATACACTACTTATTGGGAAAATATTTCTCAGTAAAGTTCATATTTTTCCTAAAAATATAACTGTGCACACTAAATAAGTCTAATATCGGTAGCTATTAGTCTATTTTAATTCGTGAAAGGTAGCCAGTGAATTCTCAGTCACTGAGGGACTCATGACAGCTGATAAACAGCATTACTGGTAACCTGGTAAGCCTGATGAATTCACTTGTTCCTAACGTATTAGCGTTCGCTGCGTTACCTAGGTAACATCAGTATTATTACAACTTACAGGCTAAACTAATATTCGCGGCTTGCGTTGTGGTATGCACGCCGTAGAATTTTTTTTTTTGTGTCACCCGAAATTGGCTTGCGTGCGTTTGCACTTGATTTCATTGAGCGAAACGTCAAATCAAAATCTCACGCAAAACAAAAATTTGAAATTGAGTTAGCTTCATACGCACGCCGTTCAATTTCGGTTGGTCCCATACAAGCTGTATGTGCATGAGAAATTTTTGACAGTAAATTGGCGGCGTGCGTTAATATTAGGTTAGCCTGTTATGAATGGAAGCCAAAGGTAGCTAGTCAGATAGCTGGTGAATGGTAATCTAGTAGGTGTAAATTGATTAAGTCCATGTCGGATAAAGCTTTGTGGCTTTGCGAAAGCGAAAGTCGTAAAAGGTATGGCACAATGAATGACAAGGAAATAATTTTGCACCACTTCAATATATTATACTATAAGCAGTTTCTCCAATAATTATTCACCATTAAATTTATGGTTACTCACTAAATAAAGTTTTTCTCTGTGACACCTCATGCGTGGTTTGGTCTACCAAAATACCCGAACAATGCTATTTTCAGGCCAGATAGGCATTTCAAACTTTTTCTTAGCTCTCATAATTTTATGAAGAATTCAAAAAAGCTTTCTGTATTTCGTTTTTATTTTTCATTTTTTTACCTGCGTTTGTAGTAGTCTCCAAAACGGCTGAACTGATCTTCCCGGGACTTTCACTGATATAAAGCGGTATTTTCGGAATACGCTTTGGGATTTAGGGTTAAAAAGTTTCACCATGAAAAATATTACCTTCCAGATGAGAGTTAATATTTTTCCTCAAAAATCTACATTTAGATGTAACTAGTAAAAGTCATTGCAAAATTCAAATATTTTTTACAGGCAATGTAGTTAACGCCTTAGTTTTAGGCTACTGTGTTTTTGTCAGCGTCATGTATCAGCAGATTTGTAAGAAAATCAAATATTTTCAAATGGCCAAACTCAGCCGCTAGTGATATTAAAATATCTTTTAGGTGACTTTTACAAGAAAGTAAATGTTAGGTATGGCTGCATGTATGTACATTAAGGTGGTCTAAAAATGCGTGTGAGAAAATAAAGTCGGAATTTCACCCCCTAGGATTGTTCAATATCGACAAAAACTTTGCCCCTGGTTTTTTTTTCTTTTAAATAAAATATTTTGAGGTCAAAGAGCACAAAGTTTTCCATGTATTTTATATGGGAAAAAAACAAATTTTCATACAAATGGTATAGAATTCGATCGGAAAACTTCGTTTCTCTTCAGGAGACTTCCAATAACAACACCCAATTGTGTATTTAACCAGGGGTCCTATAAACAATTTTTATTATGCGAAATGATTAAATTAACGATTGGATACTATTACTGGAAGTCTCCTGAAGAGAAACGGAGTTTTCTGATCGATAAATATTGATTTCCAAGGATTTATACCATTTCTACGAAAAATTGTTTTTTTTCCCACCCCACATACAAGAAAAACTTTGAGTACTTTGTGCGATCTCTAGCAGCCGGTTTCACCAGCAATTTAAATGGAAAATGATTTTTTATTGTCTGTCAATTTCCATATAAATCCAAAAAATTGAAATCATTTTTCACTCAAGTTTCTTTCTTGAAATTGGCTTTAAATATTTTTTTATTTCCAAAAAAAAAAAAACGGTGGTAGAATTTTTTTCGTTACAGCCTAGGGGATGAGAGCATTAAAATTCCGACTTTACTTTTGTTTTACCACCACAATGCATTTAAATCTTGATAATAGCTTATTTTTGACAAATTAAATTTATTTTCTGCTAAATACACGATTTAAATGACAGTAAATTAACACAAAGCAAAATTTAAATCCTTTCAATAAATGTCAAACTTTCACTTTAACTCACACACACACATTAACAGCTAGCCAAGTGCATGCATGCTTTAACATATTTTCAAGCGCCGGAACAGGTTCATTTAATCACATGGCAAATCACGCACAATAAACATGCCTGGCAAATTTCTAGATGCATAGTATTTATGTATGAATTTTATTTATGAATTTACCATTTGACTATTTTAATAAAATTTATAGTAGAGCAAAATTTTGATAAATATTTTAAATAATTAGGAGTAATAGCCCAAACGTTAGGGGTATTAGTACAAAACCACATAAAAAAACTGAAAGTGCTTTCAAAAGCTAAAATTCATACAGCTAACGAAGGGTAAAATTTTTATAGTAAATTTTCCGCTTTCATTAAACATATGTAGATATGTAGGTGCATACTTACATATGCATACTGCCAAAAAGTATTTGTGAAAATTGCAACATTTCAACATTAATTAATAACAATAGCTTTTTCGCAAGCATGCAAAATGTAATGTAGTATTTATTACAGTGAAAATTTATTTGAAATCGACCTGAAAATTTAAAATATTGCAAGAAATTTCCATAGCTTATCAATTTCTATTGTTTCCATTTATTTTAGTGAAAATAATTATTTTTGATGTACATTTTAATAAAAATAGAGTGTGTAGTCTCTAAGCGCGGAAAAAATTCCAGTAGTAAAGCGGTTAGCAATATATTTTCTAATATACCTACTGGCCCGTATAAATCTTAACTATGCAATTGCTTTTTCTTAAAATTTCAGACCTTTAACTTGAATTTATTTAAATGAATCCCTGTAGTAATAGGTCTGGCTTTAAGAAAAAGTAATGGCTTAGTTTTTATCCATGCGGTCCACTGTATGTACTTATTACAAGCTTATTAAATAAAAGTAAATGGCCCACAAAAAATTTGCCCGACAGATGGCGCAGGAGTCGAGATATTTCGCAAATCCGTAGGTATTTGTAATTCAATTTGTTTCTTATTAGAATAAGTAATGGAAAGAAATACGTCCACAAAAATTTTGCCGTTAATAATAAAAGCTTGTCTTAAAAAAAACTTTTTTTTT